AGGGGAGAAGGAGAAGGTGGGAGAGAGGGAGAGAGAGAAGGAAAAAGGAGAGAAGAGCATAGGAGGAGAGGAAAGGGGAGAGGAGAGAAAGGAGAGAGAGAGAGGGAGAGAGGAGAGGAGAGAAAGAGAAGGAGAGAGGGGGAGAGGAAAGAGAACAAGAGAGGGGAGAAGGAGAAGGTGGGAGAGAGGGAGAGAGAGAAGGAAAAAGAAGAGAAGAGAGCATAGGAGGAGAGAGGAGGAGAAGGAGGGAGAGGTGAAGGAAAGAGAAGAGAGAGAGGAGGAGGAGGAGAGAAAAGAAGAAAGAAGAGAGGAGAGAGAAGAGAAAAAGGGGAGGAGGAGGAGAGAGGAGAAAGAAAGAGGGAAGGAGAAAGTGGGAGAGAGAGAAGGAGAGGAGAGAAAGAGAAGGAGAGAGGGGGAGAGGAGAGAGAACAAGAGAAAAGGAGAAGGTGGGAGAGAGAAGGAAAAAGGAGAGAGAAGAGAGCATAGGAGGAGAGAGAAGGAGAGGAGAGGGAGAGTGAAAGAGAGGAGAGAGGGAGAGAGAGAAGAAGAAAAGAGAAGGCAGAGAGGAGGAGAGGAGAGGAGAGAGAAAGAGGAGTGTGAGAGAGTAGGGAGAGAGAAGGAGAATGTAGAGAAGAGGAGAGGAGGAGAGAGAGAGAGAGAAGGTGGAAATATAATCACTCCTTGACTGACAGACGCAAAACAGCCCCAAATGTTTATTGCTAACCAAATCTCTCCTTAAGCAAGTCATGAGGGCTGGGGATATAGCTAGTGCTTCACTTGTGACCACAGTCCAGCTAAGCAAGGACATTGGTCAAGTGAGTTTTTGCCCCATATTACGACCATTCTGCCCCTGTTGTTAAGCCAATCACTGGAGGTCATCTAATCCAACCCCCTGCCTAGGCAGGAAACCCTACACCACTTCAGACTAATGGTTATCCAACATCTTCTTAAAAACCTCCAGCGGGGGAGCACCCACAACTTCTAGTGGCAAGCAGTTCCACTGGTTAATTGTCCTCCCTGTCAGGAAATTCCTCCTTAGTTCTGAGTTGCTTCTCTCCTTGGTGAGTTTCCACCCGTTGCTTCTTGTCCTGCCTTCGGGTGCTTTGGAGAATAGCTTGACTCCCTCTCCTTTGGGGCAGCCCCTCAAATATTGGAAGGCCGCTATCCTGTCTCCCCTGGTCCTTCTCTTCACCAGACTAAGCCAGGCCCAGATCCTGCAACCGTCCTTCGTAGGTTTGAGCCTCCGGTCCCCTCATCCTCCTGGTTGCTCTTCTCTTCCCTCTTTCCAGAGTCCCAACAACAACTATTTTATGATATGGTAACCGAAACTGCGTGCAAATATTCCGCGTGTGGCCTTGGCAGCGCACTACAAAACGGTATTAACGCTTCACGGGATTTCGATCCCAGGGGCCTGTTTATACAACCAGGGGTTGTGTTGGCTTTCTTGGCTGTTCACGTTTAAGGGGCTATCAAACTCGGGTGCCCAGATCCCCCCTCACAACTACTACTATATGAGGCACGGTGGCGCAGTGGTCAGAGCACGGTATTATTGCAGGCTCCTTCTGCTGACTGCCAGCTGCGCGGAGTTTGGCCGATCGAATCCCACCAGGCTCCAGGTTGACTCCGCCTTCCCTCCTTCCCAGGTGGGCCAAATGGGGACCCAGATTGTTGGGGGCAAAAGGCTGATTCTGTTTCCCGCCTGAGGAGGGGGTTGGACTAGAAGACCTCCAAAGTCCCTTCCAGCTCTATTCCTATTCTATTTTCAATTCATTTCTGTTCTGTTCTATTCATTTTCTCTGTTCTCTTTTCTTCCGACATTCTATTCTTTTCTGTTCTGTTCTATTCATCTATTCTATGCTATATTCTATATTTTCTATTCAATTCTTCTAAATTCTATTCTATTCGGTTCATCTATTTTGTTTTCTGTTTTGTTTCTCTGCTCTCTTACCATTCTTCTTTCTATCATCTCTCCTTCCTTCTCTTCTCCTTCCCTTCTTCTTCCTTCCATCTCCCCTTCTCTTCTCTTCACTCCTTTCTTCTTTTCCTCTCCAAGTCAATGCAACTAAACCCTTCCCTTTTCTCCTCTCCTTCCACCTCTCCTTCCTTCTCTTCTCCTTCCCTTCTTCTTCCTTCCATCTCTCCTTCTCTTCTCTCTTCTCTTCACTCCTTTCTTCTTTTCCTCTCCTCTCCTCTCCAAGTCAATGCAACCAAGCCCTCCTCTTCTCTCCTCTCCTTCCACCTCTCCTTCCTTCTCTTCTCCTGTAAACCGCCTATTGAGGGCCGTCGAGTGGCCTATCGGTCTGAATGCCACTGCCCCCCACCTCCCCCCCGTTGGGTTTCTGTGCCGTCCGACTCACCTGTGAGCCCCCACCAGGTGGGGCAGCGGCTGGTCAGCTTCACCACCCCGGAGGCGAACATCAGCCGGAAGAGCAGCCATCGCACCAGCCAGAAGGTCACCCCGTCATGCGCCCTCCAGGCGGAGGAGGGTCCCCGGAGCAGGTGCAGGGGGGCCACCAGCACGGCCAGGAAGCCCGTCTCCAGCAAAAGGCTGTCCCTGGGGGAGAAAGGGGGAGGGGGTCAAGGGAGCATGGCTAGGGCGCCCCTCCCCCTGCCCAGGCTCCGGGGGGGGGGCCCACTCCCCAGGACCCGGAATCCACAGGCGGTCCTTGATCCATGGCCACCATTGGGGCCCAACGTTTCCCTGGCTGAGCGGGTCGGGGCAGGGGGGTTCAGTGGGATCGGCTGCCCACCCGTTTTATGACCGTTCTTGCCCCAGCTGTTAAGTGAATCACTGCAAGGGTTTAAGTCAGCGTCAATCGGAATACACGGAAGAGACCGTGTAGGCAGGAGACCCTGCACCATTCCAGACAGGGGGTGTCCAGTCTCTTCTTAAAAGCCTCCAGGGATGGAGACCCCACGACTTCAGGAGAAGCTTTTTCCATCTACCCATTTTGGGGGGGTCTGTTTGTATATCTTCTCTCTCCCTCCCTCTCTCTCCCTCCCTCTCTCTGTCTCTCTTCTATCTCTCTCTCTCTCTCTCTCTTCTCTCTCTCTCTCTCCCCCTCTCTCTCTCTCCCTCTCCCTCTGTCTCTTCTCTCTCTCTCCCTCTGTATGTATGTATGTATGTAAAGAAAGAAACATACATCTTACAATCTCCGGGACTAAAATATACATTTACTTACTAAGCTTTTGTCAGCCTCTGCTGACATTATCAGAATACCGACGAAAGCTCACTAAGTAAATATAATTTTAGTTCCGGAGATTGCAAGATGTATGTTTCTTCTTTTACAAGTATATCTGGAACTTGTATTTTTAGAATAGTTTGTAATATATATATATATATTCTTACCGTTCTTGCTTTTCATCAGCTGTCAAAACTTTGCTGCAAGGGGTTTAAAAACATCCTGTCTTTTTTCCTTCTTTATACATTTTTCTTTAAACATATTATACGGATTTAGCAAACAGTGTATTGCCTGGGTCATTTTACATATACGTAATAGTAGTATGAGTATTCTTTACTTGTACATAATAGCATTCTTCCAACTTCTAATTTCTACCTTTGTGATCTAACCATGGATAAAATAAATCCCAAATTAAAAAAAATATTCTGTGACTTCTTTGTCCTTTATTTTTAATGTTGACCTATCCATTTCCGCAGAGTCTAATATTGCCTGTCTGTCTATCATCCATCCATCTATCCATCTCTCTCTCTCTCTATCATCTATCTATCATCTATATTTATTCATCCATCCATCCATGTATCATCTATCTATATTTATCTATCTATCCATCCATCATCTATTCATCCATCCATCATCTATCTAAATATCTATCTATCCCCTCTCTATATCTATCCCCTCTACCTACCTACCTACCTACCTATATCTATCTATTCCCTCTGTGTCTGTCTGTCTGTCCCTTCTCTATATCTATCTATCTATCTATCTATCTATCTATCTATCTATCTACCTACCTACCTACCTACCTACCTACCTACCATCTATTTATCATCTATCCATCCATCCATCCATCATATGTATCTTATCTGTCTCACAGAACCATAGAAACCTAGGGCTGGAAGGGACCTTGGAGGTCTTACCCCCCCTCAAGCAGGAGACCCTCTACCATTCCAAACAGGTGACGGTCCAGTCTCTTCTTAAAAGCCTCCAGTGATGGAGAACCCACAACTTCTAGTGGCAAGGAGTTCCACGGGTTAATTTGTCCTCCCTGTCAGGGAGTTCCTCCTCCGTTCCAGGCTGCTTCTCTCCTGCCTTCAGGGGCTTTGGAGAATAGCTTGACTCCCTCTTCTTTGGGGCAGCCCCTCAAATGCTGGAAGGCTGCTATCACGTCCTCACCCTCCCAGTCCTCCTCTTCTCTAGACTGGCCAAGCCCAGTTCTTCCCATCTTCCTTCGATCATCTTCGTTCTTTAGTTAGTTCCTCTTCTTTGCACTTTTCCCAAAGTCTCCACATCCTTGTTTTTTTTTTGTAATGTGGTGGATGCAGGATCCCAGTTGTGGCCCTACTAAGCCTTTACAAAGCGCTACTTAACCCTTCGCGAGATTTTGAGTCCTTGATTTACGACAGTCCATGAAGGGACGCTGAAAAAAGTGACCCCCTGGCTGTCTTTCACGCTTATGACCGATGCCAATTTGACAAGTGCCGTGATCCACTTAACAACGGTGGCAAGAAAAGGGTTGTAGAACGAGACAAAAACCCACTGAACTAATGTCTCATTCAGCGACAAGAAGCTTTGGCCTCAGTTAGGGTCGTAAGGTGAGCCCTACCTGTTGGAAGCCCAGGGCCACTTACCACTGGAAGTAGAGGAACACCTGTCCCACCTGCAGAGAGAAAAGAAAGGAAGAAAAATCAAATGAGAACCTGGACTGGCTCTTCAGGTGCCTTTTACCTGAGTTCAGACTGGTTTTCCTAATGTAAAACATTGATATCCCACCTGCTCAATCTACCTGCAAAGGGCTCTATCCTCCACCCAGCCACTAACTAGCCCACTAACCTTACTACCCTGTTTCCCGGAAGATACGACCTACCCTGAAAGTAAGTCCTAGCTTGATTTTTTACACGTGTGCCCAATATAAGCCCTACCCCCCAAATAAGCCCTAATTGAGATCCCGCCCACTCCAGAGTGGACCGGTAAAAATTAAGCTAGGGTGGGAATAGGGGGGTGGAGCTGCCCTACTACTTACCTTTAGACAGGTGTAGCCAGGCCTCGCACACCCCGACACCTGCCTGGCCGGCCCATTTCTTCTGCAGCCAGCAAGGCTGGCCAGGCTCTCCTGAAGGCCTCTGGAGCTGGTAACAAAGCTCTGGATCGATCCTGAAGGCTGCAGAGGCCTTCAAGAAAGCCTTGCTGGCCGCAGAAGTAGTTCATGAAGGCCTTGGACAGCCAAAAGGAAGTCGGGGGCAACGCGCTCAAGTGAGGTTAGTCAGTGGATGATTTCCCCCGAAAATAAGACCTAGTGGCTTTTTTGGTGGCAAAAAAAATATTAGACAGGTCTTATTTTCAGGGAAACACGGGAACTATTAACTAAGCCCAGTGCAACACTCCAGTTTGGCCACCCTGATTGGCTAGGAATTTGGAAATGGCCTACTCTGAGACGATATCCCTGTAAGGTAGGCTGGGCCAAGCATGCCTGATGACTTCCAAGTCCCCCGTGGACCTCCTAGGAAGAAGGTGCAGCTTAAACTCAGGTTGTAGTGCTACATTTCCACCCCACCCCACAGTGGTGACTCCTATTGGCTGGGAATTTGGGAAGGAGCTTGATGGGGCCTCAAAGATGAATTAAAAAATTTACGGAGACCTGGTTCAAATAACGTTAGAGGAGCGTTTTTCAAACGTGGCCATTTGAAAATGTGTGGACTTCAACTCCCAGAATTCCCCAGTTAGCACCTTATAAAGTAAGGACTTCAACTCCCAGAATTCCTTCTTAGTACTTTGTAACGTATGGATTCCCAGAATTCCCCAGCCAGCACCATCAGAAGCGAGGGCTCGAACTCCCAGAATTGCTTGTTAGCATTTTAGAAAGCATGGACTTCAACTCCCAGAATTCCCTACTTTTAAAGACTTCCCAGAACTCCCCAGCCAGCACCATAAGTGAAGACTTCAACTCCCAGAATTCCTTGTTAGCCCTTTATTAAGTGTGGACTTCAATTCCCAGAATTCCCAAGACAGCACCATCAGAAGCGAGGACTTCAACTCCCAGAATTCCTTGTTAGCCCTTTATAAAGTGTGGACTTCAATTCCCAAAATTCCCTAGCCAGCACCTTAAGAACTAAGGACTTCAATTCCCAACATTCTCCAGGCAGCTCTTTAAAAACTGCCCATTTCAACTCCCAGAGATCCCCAATTGGCACCTTAAGAACTCTGGGCTTCAATTCCTAGAATTCCCTAGCCAGCACCTTAAAAAGAACTCCCAGAATTCCTTGTTAGCCCTTTATAAAGTATGAACGTCAATTCCCAGAATTCCCTAGCCAGCATCATAAGTGAGGACTTCAACTCCCAGAATTCCTTGTTAGCCCTTTATAAAGTATGGACTTCAATTCCCAGAATTCCCTAGCAACCACCTTAAGGACTTCAATTCTCAGAATTTCCTAGCCAGCATCATAAGTGAGGACTTCAACTCCCAGAATTCCTTTTTAGCCCTTTATTAAGTATGAACATCAATTCCCAGAATTCCCTAGCCAGCATCATAAGTGAGGACTTCAACTCCCAGAATTCCTTGTTAGCCCTTTAGGAAGTGTGGACTTGTAACTCCCAGATTTCCCTAGTCTTAAGAACTTCAACTCCCAGAATTCCTTGTTAGCCCTTTATTAAGCATGGACTTCAGCTCCCAGAATCCCCCAGGCAGCACCCCTGGAGGGCATCATCCACCCCGCCCCGTGTACCTGGTAGACCGAGAGGTAGAGGCCCCAGAGGGCGAGGAAGACCAGGCTGTCCCGCAGGGGCTCCAGCAGCAGGGCCCCGAAGGAGAGCAGCGTGCCCATCAGGCACAGCAGCTCCAGGCCCTGCTCCGTGTCCAGCCCCAGGTGGGGCCCCAGCCACAGCAGAGTCGGGGAGTCCCGCAGCTGCTCCCAGAAGCCTTTGCCCGTAAAGCGGAGCATCTTCCGGGCGGGCAGGATGCCATCTTTGCCATAGAGGCCTGGAGGGAGAAAAAGAGAGAGAGGCTCGAACAGGGCAGCTTGGCAACGGGTGCAACGCCACGCACACACACACACAACACAAACACACACAGCACAAAACATCCACAAACACGACACCGTAGTGCTTTTGCAGGGAGCTGGTGCCTTGCAATGCAGGGAGTCCTCGCTTTATGGCAATTGAACCCTAAATTTCTGTTGCTAAGCAAGACAGGGAACTGGTGCCTTGCAAGGCAGGGAGTCCTCGACTTATGACCAGAATGGAGCCCAACATTTCGGCTGTTAAGCAAGACAAGGAACTGGTGTCTTGTAACGCAGAATCCTCGACTTACAACCAGAATGGAGCCGTTAAGCAAGACAAGGAACTGGTGCCTTGTAATGCAGAATCCTCAACTTACGACCAGAATTGAGGCCAACATTTCTGCTGCTAAGCAAGGCTGCTGCGGAGTGAGTTTTGCGCCCTTTTACGACCTTTCTTGCCTCCGTTGTTAAGCGAATCGCTGCGGCTGTTCAACGAGTCACACCGTTGTTCAGTGAGTCCGCCTTGCGCCACTGACTCCACTTCTCAGAAAGTCGCAAAAGAGGATCGCGGCCGTCGTAAATGTGAGTCAGTTGCCAAGGGTCCAAATTTTGATCCCGTGACCGTGGGGATGGCTGCAACCGTCATAAGTGTGAAAAACGGTCTTAAGTCGCTTTTTTCTGGTGCCATTAACGGCCAGTAAAGGAATGGCTGTAATTGGAGAATACCTCTTTGTTTATGCATATATTTTATGCATACATTTTTCTTTAGTAAACATAATAACTCAAACGTCTACAGGAACAGTGTGTTGTCTGGCTACAATTAGTTTTGAAAAATAATAATAGTAATAACGACATTCTTTGCAGGGTTGATAATAATCCCCTAATATTTGCTTATCCATACTAATAAACCTTCACTGTATAGTTAATCATTCTCTTAAAGTTTTAATTTCCTAACTTGTTTCTGTCAACTAACTATTGATAAAATGAATACTTTTTCCCCCCCAAAATAAGATCCTGACTTATATTTCCAAAAAAGGCACCAGGTCTTATTTTCGGGGGACGTCCTCCACTTACTAACCTCTGTTGTGCACATTGTCCCTGGCCTCCTTTTCGCTGTCAAGAGGCCTCCAGGAACTCCCTTCTTCTGCGGCCGGCATGGTTTTCCTGAAGGCCTCTGCAGCCAATAACAGAGCTCAGGATCGATCCAGAACTTTGTTCTCAGCTACTACAGAGGCCTTCAGGAAAGCCTGGCCAGCCTTGCCGGCTGCAGAAGAAATGGGCCGGCCAGGCAGGTATCGGGGTGCGCGAGGCCTGGCTACACCTGTCCAAAGGTAAGTAGTAGGGCAGCTCCACCCCCCACATCCCCACCCTAGCTTAATTTTTACCCATCCACTCTGGAGTGGGCGGGATCTTAATTAGGGCTTATTTTGGAGGGTAGGGCTTATATTGGGCACACCTGTAAAAATCAAGCTAGGACTTACTTTCTGGGTAGGTCATATTTTCGGGGGGAAAGGGAACTTCTAAAGGAGTTTGGCCGGAAATGGTTCTCCTAGATTCCTCCCAATTCGTTTGCTGCAGGTTCCAAAAACTCGACTTGCTCCAAAGTTCCTCCTGAGATACTCCACTCTTGAGTTCCAGCTAAGAGCTAAAGCCCCCTTGGATTTCTCCCTTTCAATATTCCTCCCAATCCAAGATGAATTCCGTTCTTTTCTTCCACCACGGCACGCCTTAAAAACTTCTCCAGCATTTTAATAAACCGTCTACTACTCGCTCTTACATCTTTTTCCCCACTTACAGGTCGCCGGCCATGGCCTACTCCTTGTTCCCTGCCAAACACACCAGCTCCACCTCGAAGGTACACACACCGCACCCTCCAGAAAGTCACACTGCCCTTCACAAACTTTTGTTTTCACCTTTCTGAAACCTTTAGCTATGAATTCTCGTCAACAACTTCTGAGATTCATTTCGTTGCTGCCTTTCCTCTTCTTACAGGTAGTCCTCACCTTACAACGGTTCACTCACAACAGTCCTCGCCTTACAACAGTCCAAAGTTACGACGGCGCTGAAAAAAGGGACTTGTGAGCCTTTTTCTACGCGGTTGCTGCATCCCGTGATCAAAATCCAGATGCTTGGCAACTGACTCATAGTTAGGACGGTCGCAGCGTCCTCCAGGGTGTGTGTGTGACATGATCCACTTTTATGACCTTCTGACAAGCATAATCAACGGGGAAGCTGGATTTGCTTATAATGCCCATGTCCCTTACTTAACAACTGTGGTGTTTCACTTAAACAACTGGGGTACGGAATGTCGTACAACGGAGCAAAGTTTACTTAGCAACTATCTTGGAAATGCTGGACTTAATTGGGGTTGTAAGTCAATGATTACCTGCCCTATGCCATCCCCGACAAATAGTTATCCAATGGTAATCTTGAATGCATATGTACAACATAGAATCGTAGAATCCTAGGGCTCTTAGTAGTAGTAGCTAATACAGTAGCCATTGTGAGGGGGATCTCGGAGTCCTAGTAGACAATCCCTTAAATAGGAGCCAGCTGTGTGCTGCAGCAGCCAAAAAAGCCAACACAATCCTTGGTTGCATTAACAGAGGGATGGACTCAAGATCAGGTGAAGTGTTAATACCACTTTACAAGGCCTTGGTAAGGCCACAGTTGGAATATCGGCATCCGGTTTTGGTTGCCATGATATAAAAAAGATGTTGAGACTCTGGAAAGAGGGCAGAGAAGAGCAACGAAGAGGATTAAAGGGCTGGAGAATATAAACATACGAAGAAAGGTTGCAGGAACTGGGTATGGCCAGTGTGATTAAAAGAAGGACCAGGGAGGCCATGATAGCTGGTGACCAGTATCTGAGGGGCTGCCCCAAAGAAGAGGGAGTCAAGCTATTCTCCAAAGCACCAGAAGGCAGGAGAAGAAGCAACGGGTGGAAACTCATCAAGGAGAGAAGCGACCTAGAATGAAGGTGACATTTCCTGACAGTTAGAAGAATTCATTCGTGGATTACTTGAAGCTTAACTCAGGAAATTGTAGGTGCTTCATCACTGGAGGTTTTGAAGAATAGGCTGGACAGTCACTTGTCCATAATGGGGTAGGACCTCCTGCTCAAGCAGGGGGTTAGACTAGAGGGCCTCCAAGGTCCCTTCCAACTTTATTCTGTTTAATGAAAATAAAGGACTAGGGGAGACATGATAGCAGTCTTCCAATATCTCAGGGGTTGCCCCACAAAGAAGAGGGAGTCAAGCTATTCTCCAAAGCACCAAAAGGCAGGACAAGAAGCAACGGGTGGAAACTCATCAGGGAGAGAAGCAACTCAGAACGAAGGAGGAATTTCCTGACAGGGAGAAGAATTAACCAGTGGGACTGCTTGCCACTAGAAGTTGCAGGTGCTTTACCACTGGAGGTTTCCAAGAAAAACATTGGACAACCACGTGTCCGGGATGGTATAAGCTTCCCCGCCTTGGGCAGGGGGTCGGACAAGGTCCCTTCCAACCCTCTTATTCTGTTAGGGCTGGTAGGGACCTTGGAAGGTCTTCTAGTCCAACCGCCCTGCCCCAAGGCAGGAGGCCTTCTCCCATTCCCCGAATCCGAAAGGGGGAAATCTTTTCTTAGCAGGAGGAGGAGGAGGAGGAGGAGGAGGAAGGAAAGGCAGCTTGGGGTGGGGGTGGGGGCCTTGGAGCACCCCCCCCCCCCCCC